ATATATAAGGAGACAATAAGGAGACAAATAAGAAGAATATAATAATAAATAAATAAGGAGACAATAAGGAGACAAATAAGAAGAATATAATAATAGATAAAAAGAGACAATTACTGCATCTCCCCTTTATTACCCTATATAAGGAATAAGGATACTATTAGTACTATTACTATAAATAAATATATATAAATATATTGAATAAGGAGACAATAAATATACCAATAAATAGAGAATAAATAGATGAATAATAATAAATATAAATAATAAATAATAAATAAACATAATTAGCAATAATAATAACATATCCTTTATTATCTAGAAAATATCTTAATGATACAAGTACAATAAGACTAACAACAACAACAACAACAACAAGTATAAATAAATAAATAAATATATTGAATAAATAGATAATAAATATACCATTAGATAGAGAATAAAAAGGTGAATAATATAAATATAATAAATAATAAACTTACTTAGCAATAACATATCCTTTATTATCTAGAAAATATCTTAATGATCCAAGTACAATAAGACTAACTAACTACTACTATAAGTATGAATAACTAAATAAATATATTGAATAAGGAGACAATAAATATACGAATAGATAGAGAATAAAAAGATGAATAATATGAATATAATAATAATAAGACTTACTTAGCAATAACATCTCCTTTATTATCTTGAAAATCTCTTAGAGATACAAGTACTATATCTCCAGCATTAACCCATACTCTTTTCCTCATCTTACCACGAATATGACATAAACGACGAATACCATCAAAACAATGTGCCTCTAGTCTACCATTACCTAGCATTCTTAGTACTTGTCCGTATTCTGTATACATATATATATATATATATATATATTTATTTATTTATTTATTTATTTTATTTATTTTATTTATTTATTTATTTATTTTATCTATCTATTTATCTATTTATCTACCTATTTATTGTTATATATACATATATATATATATATATATATATATATATACATATATAATCATCATATATATATTCATCAATATATTCAATATATATATATACATGACTATACACCCCAATTATATATATACATATATATATAAATATAAATATATAAATATAAATATATAAATATAATTATAATTCATAGATACTTTTTTATTTATTTGTTTATAATAAATATATATGGACATTACACACACACACACACACAGCAACAGGAACTACTTGCTGCTGCTGCTGCTGCTGCTGCTGCTGCTGTTGCTGTTGCAGCAGCAGCAGCAGCAGCAGAAGCAAACACAGCAGCAAAAGCAGCAAAAAGAGCTGAAATACGCAGCATAGATGATCTATAATGGTCAATAAAAAGGAAAAACAAGCAATAAATAACTAATAAATAAAAAAAGAAAGAAAGACAATAATAAATAAATTAAATAAATAAATAAATAAATTAAATATAAATAATAAAAAAAAGAAAAAAAAACTATATATCATGTACACAATGGTATCTCTAAACCCTAAACCCTCATAAACCCTAAACCCTCATAAACCCTAAACCCTCATAAACCCTAAACCCTAAACCCTAAACCCTAAATACCTTGTCCTGCTTCCTTGAATTGTAATTCCCTCTTCTCTCCTTCATTGTCATTCTTCCCCCTCCTCCTATTCTTTCCTCCCTTTCCTGTATATATACAGCACAAACCCTAAACCCTAAACCCTAGTAAACCCTCGTAAACCCTAGAGTAGTAAACCCTAGAGTTCCACACTGCTGGGATTGGGGTTACTGCAGCAGCAGCAGCAGCAGCAGCAGCAGCAACAGCAGCAGCAACGTTGCTGCTGCTGACACTGAAAGTTCGAGCCATTATATCTAGATCTCCTTTATCCCAAAAGAAGCAGCAGCAGCAGCAGGAGAAGCAGCAGCAGCAGCAGCAGCAGCAGCAGCAGCAGCAGCAGGAATGGCAGTAAAGATAACAGCAGCAAGGAAATTGTTGCTGCATCTGTAGATCTGCTGCATGCGTTTGTTGTCTGCTGCAGCAACAGCAGCAAATAAAATATATAGAGCTGACAAGCTGAAGCAGCAACAGCAGCAGCAGCAGCAGCAGCAGCAGCTGCAGCTGTTGCTGCTGGTGTTGCTGGTATTGCATTAGCTGCTTCTGTTGCTGTATCAACAGCAGCAACAGCAGCAGCAGCAGCAGCAGCAATAGAAGGAAAGAAGCAATAATAAACAATTAGAAGAAGAGAGCAGCAGCAGCAGCAAAAAAGAAAAAAGACAAACCTTTATTCTTCGGCATTGTGCCAGCAAATGGGTATAGTTGGTGCTGCTGCTGCTCTTTGCTGCTGCTGTAAACCCTAAACCCTAAACCCTAAACCCTAAACCCTAAACCCTAATCAACTTCCTTAACTTTCCTCCAAATATACCTCCTGTGTAACAAACCTCAAACACACCAAACCCTAATACACCTTGTTGCAGCAACAGCAGCAGCAGCAGCAGCCGCAGCAGCAACAGCCGCAGCAGCAGCAGCAGCAGCAGCCGCTGCTGCTGCTATTGACCGCAGCCGCAGCAGCAGCCCCAGCAGCAGCCGCCCCGCCGCTGCGGGGCCAAGGGGTATATGTGATCGTTTGCTGCTGCTGCTGCTGCAGCTGCAGCAGCAAGCAGATTTGTTTCTGCTGCATGCAGCAACAAATTATTTATTTATTTATTTTATTTATTTATAATTAATTACTTTTTTTTTCTTCCTTTTCTTCTCTCTTATCCTGCGGTGTCACGATACACACGCCGCCCCACAGAGGGGGACGACTAACAGCAGCAGCAGCAGCAGCAGCAGCAACAGCAGCAACAGCAGCAGAGACAGCAGCAGCTGCAGCAGCAGCAGCTGCCTCTGCTTGTCTCGCTGCTGAATGTGTATTTTAATAATATAAATCTACAGAATACAGCAAAAAAGCCTGCGGTTGCTGCTGCTGCTGCTGCTGTTACGCAGCACCATCGCCTGCTGCTGCTGCTGCCTGCTGCTGCTGCTGCTGTTGCTGCTGTTATGAGCATCAGCTGCAGCAAAGGATGCAAGGATGAAGGGAAATCTTTTTTTATTTATTTTTTCTTTTTTTTATTCATTTAATTTTTTTGTTTCTTTTGCCTTTAGGGGTACAAGAATAAATACTCCTTATTCTTATACTCTCTTACCAGGCAGCACATGCAGCAGCAGCAGCAGCAGCAGCAGCAGCAAGAGGAGCAGCAGCTGCAGCAACAATAGGCATCAACATGTGGAGCGAGCTATTTGCCATAAGAATACCTCTAGGTATCTAACTCCTATCTTATCTGCTGCTGTTACGCCAGCAGCAGCACCAGCAGCAGCACCAGCAGCAGCAGGAGCAGCAGGAGCAGGAGGAAATGATACAGTTGCAGCACCCCCTGCAGCAGCAGCAGCAGCAGGAGCAGCAGCAGCAGGAGAGGAGAGGTTCCCCTTCCAGGCTGAGGTAAAAAGAGTATTAGATATAATAGTAAATAGTTTATATACAGATAAGGATGTATTCCTTAGGGAGCTTATATCTAATGCAGCAGATGCATCAGATAAGAAGCGTGTACTGCAGCAGCAGCAGCAGCAGCAGCAGCAAGGACAGCAGCAGCAATATAAAGGATCTATAAGAGTATATGCAAATAAGAAGGAGGGTACATTAACAATAGAGGATGATGGTATAGGTATGACTAAGCAAGAACTAATTGATCATCTAGGTACTATAGCACAATCAGGTACATATAAATTTGCTCAGCATCTACAGCAGCAGCAGCAGCAGCAGCAACAGCAGCAGGAATTGGATCCACAACAGCAGCAGCAGCAGCAGCAGCAGCAGCAGCTAAATGCTAATGATCTTATAGGACAATTTGGTGTTGGTTTCTATTCTGCTTTCTTAGTAGCAGATAAGGTAGAGGTTATCTCCTCTCGTTGGACCCCACCACCACCACCATCAGCAGCAGCAGCAGCAGCAGCAGCAGGAGCAGCAGGAGCAGGAGCAGCAGCAGCAGCAGCAGGAGGAGCACCAGAAGTATGGAAATGGAGCTCAAGTTGTGGTCAGACATTTTCAATAAAAAAGATGAATGCAGCAGCAGAGCAAGAACGTTATATGCAGCAGCAGCAGCAACTGCAGCAAAGTTTATATGATGAATTAGTAAGAGATAAGACCCATGTTATAACCAATAGAAATAAAGATAATAAGGAGGAGAATAATAATAATAAGGAGCAGCAGCAGCAGCAGCAACAGCAACAGAATAATTACTGGACAGGTACAAGAGTAGTACTATATATAAGAGAGGACTGTGACGACTACCTAGAAGACTATAGACTTCGTGAATTATTAAAAAAATTCTCTGAATTTATTTCTTTCCCTATTTATTTATTAACAGAAAAAATTGAGTATGAGCGTGTACCTGCTGCTGCTGCTGCTGCTGCTGCTGCTGTTGCTGCTGCTAATAATAAAGGTAATAATAATATAGATGCAGCTAATGCAGCAGCAGCAGCAGCAGCAGCAGCAGGAGGAGGAGGAGATAAATACAAAACAATTACTAATAAATATAATAAATGGATACATCTTAATACTCAGCCTCCTATATGGAGAAGAAATGAGCAAAATATTACAGAAAAAGAATATATTGACTTCTATAAGGCTACATTTAAGGTAAATAAATAAATAAATAAATAAATAAATAAATAAATAAATAAATAAATAATTTAATTTATATATTAATTAAATTAATATAATTAATTAATTAATTTATTATAATTAGTTAGGTATAAATTAACAAATGAACTAAATATTACAGAAATAATGAATATATAGACTTCTATAAGGCTACATTTAAGGTAAATAAATAAATAAATAAATATATAATTAATTAATTAATTAATTAATTAATTTAATTAATATAATTAATTAATTTATTTATTTATTTATTATAATTAGTTAGGTATATATTAACAAATAAACTAAATATTACAGAAATAATGAATATATAGATTTATATAAGGTTACATTGAAGGTAAATAAATAAATAAATAAATAAATAAATAAATAAATAAATAAATAAATAAATAAATAAATAAATATAATAAATTAAATATATTTATTTATTTATTTATTGATATATGTATAGGCATTTGATGACCCTCTTGCATATTTACATATGCAAGTAGAGGGACAAGTATCATTTAGGGCATTATTATATGTACCTGGATCTATACCATGGGAATTATCGAGAAATATGTTTGGTATAGTCCTCCTCCTCCTGCTGCTGCTGCTGTTGCTGCTGCTGTTGCTGCTGTTGCTGGTGGTGGTGGTGGGGGACCACC